GGGGGGGGGGGGGGGGGGGGGGGGGGGCAGGTGAGATGCATGTGGCACCTGGACTTTGTCTGGCCTTGACGGGGATCAGTATCAATCAAGTGCCGGCAACACGCGGAATGGGTGCGTCATAGACTCCTAATAGTTGCCCTTGTTCTGGGACTAGTTGATTTCGGGTCGAACGTGTGTTTGCTTGCCTTCGAGAACGGAGAACGCTAACCCCCACGAGTGCGGCCTGTATTGTGTATACTGAAAAGGGTTGTGCTGCAGACGGAGCGACGCGGTTAAATTTTGGTCAATGTTTGTAGTTCGGTAATCACCAAACGCTACGGATAAGACGCAGCCTCGCGCGAGTCACTGGAATGACTTTTTTTGCCCGGACCATTTTTTGGAAGTCGGACAAGTTGGGTCGGGAGCGTCATCGATGATCTGACGACATTGAATGGGGGCGCTAGGTTACTTCCCTGACGGAAGTTGGCGATCGGACAGGCTGGGCTCGTTGAGGTAGCGGCGGGGGGGCGCGTGCGCTGGCACAGTCACGACGGCGGCGAGCCTAATTAGTTGTCCAGCGATGGCATATTGTCCCACAATGTCTGCTCGATCTTTTCTCCAGAAGTAATAATTGTAGTTACATTTTCCCGTTCACGAAAACAGGCAACAGCTGTACGCCCTCGAACGGAGCTTCGGAATTGACGTGATCTTGACCGAAATGTGAAGGTGTGTGCTGCGTGGAACATTGTTCGAAGGTAACGTCCTGTCCGATCGACCGGAAGAGACCACATGAACACTCGACACGATTCGCAACTGAATTTCCAACGTCGTGGTGTCAACTGTTCCGCCCTCCCCCCCCCCGCAAATGAGCGATATCAACAGGATGAGGGGTCACATTTTATCTCTGCGGACAACAACGTGTCATCCGTGGAAGGCTTTGTGGGTGGTCCGACGTTGGAGAACCGTGGGACCGGCAAACGAAAATAGAACCAGCCGTGAGTCGAGTAGACCCGGGGAAGAAACAACGATGGGAGCAAACTCCCTGTCTGAAACGTACTCATTTTCGCCTGAATGAATCGCAGGAGTTTTTTACCACTGGTACGTCCATCTCAGCGTGGCAGCGGCGAAACGAATACTGCGTACATGGCACAGCTTGCGCCTTGCGCGTACCACCGAAGAGGACATTATTACTTGCGGAAGATATCAGTGGCAGCAGCTGCGGGAGAGCTCGCCGGGCGGGGTCAAGAACAATCGAAGCGGGCGTGGTTGCCTGCCCGCGACACCACCGGCATAATGCCGCTCACACTGCCACAAAATACACGGAAAGACTACCCATTCGAGACATAACCACAGTTGAGAGGATGTGTTGGCCAAAAAATCGAGACACTTACACCCAAGGGGATGAAAATTACACGTGATGTGCTGAGGAACTCCTGGAAGTCTCAAGTCTCCTTTCCAAGCAAGCGAAGCAACTCATCTGACCAGGCAACGCTGAGTGATGTTGACAAGTAAACTAGACTAAAAGCCCGACAGGCAGAGTAATGAAGGCCAGTCTCCCCCCCACAGCCACCGTGCCCATCCCGCGCGCGATGAGAATAACTACAGCCTACTGTTTCCCCGCTTAGCAAATGAATGACGACAACGCACGCGGGGCATGCCCGAGTCGATGATTTTGGATGCCCATTCAAATTAACACATGATCCTTCGAAGGAATTCTATGCCCGCCTGAAAACAACACTAAGTACTCTACCCACGTTTACTTTCAACATCTGGTCAAGGGCTGCAGAACAGCAACCTACCGGTACTACAGTACCAAACGAAAACCCCTTCCCTTTCTGTCACTTCGACGAACACTGCCAACCCGGACAAACAATATTGTTCACCTGATGGCAAGTCAAGAAGATGGCAGAGCGAGGCTGTGCGCGACCCGGCCACTCGGCGAGCCATAACACTAGCAATCAGATGCTCAATTCACGCGACAGAACTGATGCATCACCACAACCATCGCTTGTTTGCATACTACATATTTCTACAAGGCGGCGAAACAAGGATTGTTGCCGTTACCGTATAAATCTCACCCCCGCTTCCAGATGAAGGGTTTCTTGTCGATCAGCGACTTGATCCCTCTGCCTCTCTGCTTCACCCCTTTATCCTCCACCCCCGCCCGCATAACAAAAGCAGAGCACAACCCCAGCGCCAGCACAACGGCCAAAAACGATCCTCATGCACACCTTCAACCCGAAAAGCTACCTACCAAGGCTGGTTTACCGCCCCCACCGCTCTCCGCCATCGCCGCCTTCCCGTGTCATCCGTTCGAGAAGCACGGCTCCCATCCCCCCCCCGCCGCCGCCCGGCGCAGAAGCGGCCCCGTCCGCATCCTGCTGCTGTTGTTGGCCGCTCGCAAACGCCGCCGCGAGAGCGTCCATACCCGCGTGCGCTCCGCCCCCACCCCCTCCCCCACCTGCTCCGTACATCGCCGACTGCATCTGCCGCTGTGGCGGCTCTGCAGACGGGTATCCGCCGCCAACACCGCCCTGTAGGTGAGCGTACTGCTGCTGGTGTTGTTGCTGCTGCTGCTGCCTCGCAGCTTGCGCCTGGACTTGGGCTTGGGAGGCCGACAGGTGGGATTGGTGTCGGGGCACGGCGTACCCTCCCCCTCCCCCTCCCATTTCCATCGCGGTCGCGCCCTGTACGGGTACTGCATACTGCTGTCGCTGCTGGTACTGCTGCTGCTGCGCCTGCTGTTGCTGCTTTTGCAGCATTTGTTGCTTTTGCATATGTTGTTGTTGTTGTTGTTGCTGCTGCTGCTGCTGTTGCTGCTGGGCGAGATATCGGTGCTGTGCGCTGGCCACACTCGGAGAAGGTCCTGCGGCGTAGGCCTGCTGCTGCTGCTGCTGCTGCTGCTGCAGGCGGCGTTGATGCTGCTCGTACTCGGCCTGGGCATTAGCCACCCCGTACGCCAGCTGCTGCGGCTGCGGCTGCGGCTGCTGCGTGGGCGCGTAGCCGCCACCGTGCGCGCCCGCTGCAGCGGCGGATGCGGCGGCACTGGCGGCGTTGATGCCGGGGTTGCCGTCTCGTCGGTAAGCGGAGTTAGCGCCGGACTGGGGGTACCCCACCCCCGCTGCCGCCGCCGCGGCCTGGTGGCGGTACGCCTGCTGCGCCTGCGTCTGGTACTGCTGCTGTTGGTGCTGCTGCTGCTGCTGCTGCTGCTGTTGGTGCTGCTGTTGGTGCTGCGCGTACTGCTGGCGTGCAGCCGCGACCTGTCCCCCTCCTGACCCATGGGGGTTCCACATGCCTGTAATTGATGTCAAGGGGGGAGGAGGACGAGAGGGCATTCGTGATGATGCATATGCCGTAGTCGTAAGACCATCGCGACGAAGCCACCAGAACGGGGAAGGCTGGGTCAGGGCCCGTGTAATCGTGATGAACAGGGGGGGCGTGAGATACAGACGTATAGGCAAAACTCATGGCAGTCCCAAGTGGAACCCTATCGGGACGGCCTCGGTGTGTTTTGAAGGTATGATATGCAGGCTTCCGACCAGCAAGGAAGAACTAACACAAAATGTAGGCAGAGTGAATACACACACACGCCCCGAAAGGCCGCATGAGCAAAACAAACAAACACCAAGAAACGGTTGTCAATCGTTGGACTTGGTTTTGTCTGGGTCACAGGCAGAAAACAGGAACACAGGCAGTGCGTCGCATCTCCAAGAAGAGATGAGGCGCACGTCGCATCAAGAAGGCCCAGCGCCCTACCGGAGATATTTGGTCACTTGGCAACGACGTTGTAAAACAAGCCGCCCCCCCCGGTGTTTGCCATCGGGGTTGGGTTTTCGTCGCTTGGCAACGACGTTGTAAAACAAGCCGCCCCCCCCGGTGTTTGCCATCGGGGTTGGGTTTTCGTCGCTTGGCAACGACGTTGTGAAACAAGCCAAGTCACTTCGTGAACTCGGCAACCAGGTTACCGGATTTTTTTTTTTACCTATGTTTTTTTTTGGCGGTAACCATACTGGTGGTCGAGTAGATCATGTTGTGCGGGGTGGAGAACCCTCGCTCCGCGCAAGGGGGATGATCGCACCACGTTGTGTTAAAATGGTCAAGCACCGTCGAGGCAGTTACATAGTGCTTACAACTGTCTCGGGAAGTGAAAGCACCAGAAAGTAAATTAAGTCATACGCAGCTGTCATCCG